TCCCCACGGCATCCACAACTGAAGAAACAACGAAATGAAGGTGCTCTTCCTAATACCCTGCTTCATAATTCTACCCACACAAACAGGCTGGCCCCCTCTCCAAGTATTGTAAAGTTAGCCTTTTCTAATCATTCAAGTAGCAAAACGAATAAAGGAAGTAGATCAATGGGAGTTATTTTGCCCAGTCACCTGCGTGCATAAATGCTCACGATCAGGAAACATTTTAACAAAACCATCTCATTTGACAAAAGAACTGAATGAATTTCTGCAAATTTCAGGAGTTGCGTTGGGATGTAAAAAGATGAGAACGGGCTTCCTGCTTGAAACTGCGAATGCCGCTTACCCTAGAAATTTCTACATCTCAAACAAGTGCTCAAGTGCTCAGCGTTCCAAGCTGCAGCAATTTTCTGTTTTGGTTCAATCTGACTTCCTAAGGAGTGCTATTAACCCAGCAATTCGGTGACACCACAATGCTCTCCGTGGCACAAAAACAGCTCCCAGCAATTGACCAAACGGTTTGTTCATTGGGTTGTATTTTCAAAAGTGAAAATGATCAGTTTAAGTGTTTCCCCTCAGCATAATACACACCAGACAAGATCCAGAAAGAACCCGAAATGACAATCCAGTTAGTGTTCCGTTTCACGGTGCTGTTAAAAAGTCATGCACATTCTACACATGGGTTTTGTTGTTAATAGCACGATTCGTTGTTTGCTGAGTGCTGACAGTGAGCAGGAACAGCCCTTAGGCGGCCGGCAAATGCTGAATTAACTACACCAGTTAGTGTGAGCCTTTGGGGCTTGTTTCCAGCTCTCCATTTTCCCTCTTTTTCTTTTCATTTCCTCCTCTTTATTCTTGCAGGATGCCCTGGACACTGGAAGAACATTACTGTGACTTTTTTTTTATAGCTTCCACAGCTAGTATACGTTTAAAAATTCTGCTGCAAATATAGGAAGACTTTTAATACAGTTTAGGCATGTCACCCAAAGTCCCCAGTGGCGTTTCACAGAAAGAATTTGAAATTAAATTGATACATATTTGCACTGTAGTAAAGTATTTTGTTGCTAATTTACTGTGTTTCAATTTTTTTCCATGAGAGGGCCAATGACACAAAAAAAAGTAAAGAAAGAAGACGTACCTGTTAATTACACATCATTTATTTGCAAGAGTTTGATATCTTTGATTTACCAAAGTCACTGCACTGTATTTAAGAATTTATAAATAGATACTGTTATGCAGCCAATTTACTGGTGAGTGTCTTAAAATTACTTTAAGAGTAATACCCAGTACACTTACAGTTATGTTTCTATTTTAAATAAATCTTGTATTTAAGCACATAAATATAGCATAGAATTACACATTAAACATTTGGAAATCATGAGTTTAATGGGCTATAAATGACTCATTAGATCAGCAGAAATATATTATTGTCTCCTTCCAAGGGAACACCATCTCAAAAACATTCTAAACAAAATCAAGACTTAGCAAATCTAAGCACGCTTCTGAGATAAAAAAGACCGGTTTATCATCTAGCTTTGATTTCTATGAGTTTATTTATCCTGAGATAACATTTACAAGGCTTTCCAAAAACAGAAAAGCAGAAGTTTCTGTTTCTAATTTGAATAGTCATATGATATGTGACCTTAGTGTAATAAGAGGTGTTCTGGCCAGGGCAGTTTCTTCTATGGATCAAGGGTATTTTTGTTAAATTGTAAAAATTTAAAACAAATGTCTCTCCAAGCAAAAAAATAAAAAAATTAAAAAAAAAACCCTCAAGGGCATCATCAGTCATAACTTTAAAACACATGCCCAAACAATTAACAGCCAAATCATAGTAGGACAAATAGGAGATTTTTCTGAACAATTTGTGGTATTATTTAAAATCTTCCCTTCAAAGGGAATTGTTCTAGAATGACTGATTTTCTTTTTTGCACCTTCACTTAATAAACACTACGGAGTCAATTACGTAAAAGTAAAAATAAGCAAAACAAAGCAGCATTAAGCTATTTTAATAGCTTAAATGACAGAAGAGAAAAAAAAACTAGCTCTTCTATTATATCTAGTGACATTCCTTTGATGTAGTCCAAGACTTGGCTGGTTATTATATCATTCCTTTCTGCACACTCATAAACACACACACACACACACACACACACACACACACACACACACACACGTACAGGGGAGATGAGAGGCGTGCTGTAGTTATGACTTCTTTAAATATTTATGGCACAGGAGACGTCTCTGTGCACAACAGCAGAAAAATATCCATGTGATTTGAAAGTCACTGAGAGTGTGTCCCTTAGGAAGGAGAGGCTCGGCGCATCTTCTCACTTGCCTAGTTTTTCCTTCTCCTTAGTTCTACTGGAAGAGTGGAGCGATAAACACTCTGTACAACATCTCTACGTGCCTGAGCCCCTCCAGTCTCAGATGACTTCTTCAGATGTAATTGCAGAGTCAACAAGAAGGTTCATTTTTAAACTCTGTGTGTGTGTGTGTGTGTGTGTGTGTGTGTGTGTGTGTGTGTGTGTGTGTTTCAAATACCCAGGGCTATTTGCAAGGAAGATTTGGCACAAACTTCCAAAAGCAGAATGTGGCTATTCCCACGTCTTACACCACGGTTCCCGCTAACTTCTTTCTACCTCTCTTTTAACTGTGGTGGGTGAAAAATGGAAAACGAGATCTGTTTGTAATAATGCATATTATCCTCCCAGTGGTATGTATGACTCTTCATATTCTCTTGATTATTTTTCATTTATACTTCCTGTCCCCTAGATTACTTTAACATCCTTTTGGGTTTTCTTTCAAACATTGTTCTACTTAATACAAAGATCATTTTGAATTAGTAACACTGACATTTTGTCCTACATGGATTTTTTCTTACTTTTGAAATATTTCTTATACTAGGAGCATTTTGTCTTCTTTTTTTTAATAATAGTAACAACAACAATAATAATAATAATAATAAAACTTTTGTTCACACAATATATTTTGGTCATGTTTACTTCTCCCTCAAGTTCCCAACCTCTCTACCCACTGAACTTTATATTCTTTTTCTCTCTACCTCTCTCTTTTTTTTTTAAAAAAAAGGGGGGGGAAAGGGGGACAAAAAAGCAAGAAACAAACAAACAAACAAAAAAGCCCCCATAGAACCACAAAAATGAAAATCAAAACAAACAGGCAAAAGACCATTAGCAAAAACAGCCAAAACAGAGCAAAATGAAACAAAAAGTCCACAAAACACCATTCCATATCCTCTCTCTCTCTCTCTCTCTCTCTCTCTCTCTCTCTCTCTCTCTCTCTCTCTGTGTGTGTGTGTGTGTGTGTGTTGGTCAATTGCTCCTGGGCGTGGGATCTGTCCTGGACTGTGGTTGATATAACCAGTCACACTCCATTGGGGAAAACTGATTTTCCCTTTAGCAGTCTCACTTGCAGATAGCTTCTTGATTACGGGTGGGACCGCTTGTCCTCTTCCCACTCTCCGTGTTGGGACTCTCTCTGCCTTAAATTTGTGCAGGTCTTGCGTGTGCTGCCACAGTCTCTGTGAGTTCATGTGCACAACCGTTCTGCTGTGGAACAGTGCCTGTAAGACACCTATTCTACATGTCTTCTTATGGTTGTGTAGCTCTACTAAAGTGTAAGGTGACTTTTGTTTGTTTTCTTGATACTGAGTCTTCTAGTTTACTTCCTGTTGCTGTGATAAAATATTCTGACCAAAAGCAACCTGGGAAGAAAAGGTTTATTTTACCTTAGAGGATACAGTCCATCACTGAGGGAAGTCAGGGCTAGCACTGGAGATAGGAACCCAGAGGGAAGAGGCACAGGCCACAGAGGAATGCTGCTTATTGGCTTGCTTCCTCTGACTTGCTCAGCTATTTTTCTCAAATACCTACCCACTGGGATAGTAGCACCCACAGTGGACTAAGCCTTCTTACACCAATTAGCAATTAAGAAAATGCCCACGGACCTGCCCACAGGCCAATCTCATCTGTCAAGTTGACAAAAAACAATGTGGATCAGGCCAACCTCAAACTCACAGAGAAACAATTGCCTCTACCTGCTTTACAAAGATTAAAGATGTACGCCATCACACCCAGCTGCTAGATACACGTATAAGCTTTTTTTTTTTTTAATGACAACTATCTTTTCTATGGTGTGTCTAAAAGCTTTCCCAACTAAACATCACTCCAACAGTCCCTCATAATATAATGCTGGGTTTGGTACTGACATATCAGGGAGTCAGCCCTGGTAAAGGCTACATGAACTTTCTTGAGAGAAGCAGATGTTCGGAAGTTTATGAATCTCATCCATCTATGTCACAGTTCATTTGGTCAGACCTACCTTGATCAAGGGCAAGTTTATAGAGAATGAGGCTGGCTGACAGAGTCAGAAGGGGATAGTTTGTATTCCAGAGGAATGAGCACTTCAGGCAGAGCACAAATGTCTTCCATTTTGGATCCACTTCAAGAAGTTTGTATACATCACTCATATACAGGTTTCTTTTCTTCTCACCAGACCTTTAATCAGATTCCCTCCCAGCTTCTTGCAAGTGTGACAAACCATTTATCATTGTTATTAGTCAGGGTAGAAACTTACTTCATGCCTTTCCTTTTTTCAGCCTGAAAGATAAAGATGCATGCTTGCCCCATTCAGCCAGCTGCTTTCAGAGCAGTGTGGCATTGCCACAGCCCACTTGTGGTTAGTTGATGAGGCCAGGGAACGGCATGGAGACCTGTGGGCTGCAAGGAAGTCTAGTCCTCAACTTGTCTTGGAGAATTTCTAGTGAAACAGTAGATAAAGTTTGAGGGAGCAACTTCAGTGGGACAGGAGTGGGCAAGCTCATGTTTTGAGAGAGAACAGTTAGCAAAAGATAGAGCCCTCATGACTCCCTGAGATACCAGCCTGCATATGTACTTTTTATTTCATAAGAGTTTCTGGACTCTGGATTTGTTTCTCCTTCTTTCTCCTCCACTCAAGTCTAACATTCTTCCTTTCTTTTACAGTTTGTTTGCCCACCTTAAAATATCAGCCAATACTTAGAAGCAACTTCTCTAATGCCAGCCTCTGGAGAATGATGGTAAGCAATACAGACCAACTGTTCCTTCTTGATGACCATGCTGTGCCAGCCCAGTGGTTCTCAACCTTCCTAACACTGTGACCTTTGATACAGCTCGAGCGGTGATGGCCCCAACCGTAACATTATTTTGCTATTTCATAACTGTAATTTCGCTACTGTTATGAGTTATAATGTAAACATTTCGGAGACAGAGCTTTTCCAAAGGGGTCACAAACCACAGGTTGAGAACCACTGTGCTAGGAGGCCTGTTGCCCCAGGCTTTGGTATTCAGTTTCAAGGACCAGCCAGAAGACGAGAGCATGTCAATGTTCTAGAAATCTTAGGGTTGAAATTTCCATGATCTGTCTCCCCACTGTTCCCTTCAGGGTTGAGGTGATACAGGCTCCCTGGTGCCTCCTTTAACCTCCACAGGATGGAGGGATAGTTATGTGACTTCCTGTGAGACCAGTTTGAAAAGCTGCCATTGTTTTGAGGAATTCTCAAAAAAGGTCAACTCTTGAATCATCTGGTAAATACTTAGGAAAGATTCACTCTAATGAAAAGTATGTCTTTTCCCCAAATCTAGACTCTTAAAAATATTTTGTTTTTACTGGTGGGGAAATATTTGAAAGTGAGATTAGTTAGGGTTTTATTGCTGTGAAGAGGCACCATGACCACAGCAGCTCTTATAAAAGAAAACATTTAATTGTGGGCTGGCTTACAGTTTCAAAGGTTTAGCCCATTATCATCACAGTGGGAAACATGGCGGCATGTGGGCAGACATGGTGCTGGACAGGTAGCTGAGAGTTCCACATTTGGATCCACAGGCAGCAAGAAGTGATTGTCACATTGGGAGCATCTGAGACCTCAAAGCCCATCCCCTAGTGACATACTTCCTCCAGGAAAGCCACATCTATTTCAACAAGGCCACATCCCCTAATAGTGCCACTCTCGATGAGCTGACGGGGCCATTTTCATTTAAACTAGCACATGCCGTGTGTAACTTCACCAGACCCGAGTAACTTGACTGAAGCTCCAGGCTCTGAGTGTTCTAGTCTTTGTTAACATACATCTTGCCAAGGTTATTTGCAGTTTATCAGCACCATTATCAACAGAATGAGAAAATATTATTTTACCTGTCTCTGTGAACTGAATCACCAAAATCTGTGGACCATAGTCATAAGTGGGGAGCAGGGTTTTACCTTGATTTGTTTCAGGTTAAAATGGAAGTTTTCCTTATCACTTAATATAAATAATGAAAACAAAATTATCAAAAAACCATCTGTTGTTTATTGCATATTAGCATCTACCTTTATTCATCAAGAAAAAGACTTCATTTAGACTTGCAGCTAAAGTTGATTAATTGATGAATTGGATGTGGGATGTAACTGCTATTCTGTTGGGCCCACATGTCAAATGCCCAGGTGAGTTAAAAGGTATATTTTTTTTAAAAAGTTACAGGCATTAGTCTTTTGTGATTTCCCCCAGTAATTTTGTTTTATTGTTTTGGCTTTTTGTTTGGCACCTCCTCACAATAATCCCTAGTTTGTGCATCAGGAACATCCATGTTAGAGGTCTGATAACTTTATGATATCTGTTTCCTGGTACCCACTCATAACTGGAGGAAAAGCAAAGTGTTATGATGGGTACAGCTATATCTCCATAGAAATCTGCTTCCCCTTAATAAAATGTTGGGCTGTGAGGCTACATCTCCTACCCAAACTTCCATTTAGAGATGGTCCTATACTTGGATTTTGTTAAATGACTGTGGTCAAGCATGACATACACAACTTGAAGGTGGTTTTGGAAAAGCTATGGACCCCTGACATCTCTCCCACAGACTGGATACAGATAAGGGAGAGATTACATGAGATGGAGAAATCTTACAGAAGGATGATACTGGGTGTTAAAACATAAGGGATACTTGCCTCCCATAAGGGATAGAAGTGTGAAAATGTACCATTGTGTTTAGTCCATTTTGTGTTGTTACCACAGCTACTGATTATATAAGGCAGCTTCTTTTGCTCCCGCCCCCTTCTAGCTGATATTTTTTACTAGCCTGCTAAGAGTAGAGTGGATCCAGGATTTCATGGAGTTGAAGATTCAGATCAATGTGTATTTATGATCATCTTAAGCCATCAAGCCAACACGTCAGGTGCCATGGATTTGGTGTTCTTGGGAATTGATCTTTATTCAGAGCTTTTGCCCCACCTCCCCTCCAAATACCTGAGTATATTCTATTCTATTTGCCAGAACGTTGCAAACCTAGCAAATCCTTGCAGGTTCTCTTCTGAGAGGCAAGGAGAGAAATTTACTTATATACTAATCTTGCCTTCCTCAGACGTTCTCAGGGGGTGTTCAGGTTTAGCTTCACTCTAGGAACCATGGTTGCATACTAAGCTTTGTCTGGGAGTTCGGCAAAAAGCAATGGCCCTCTATTAAAATGGATGATGGAAACAAGGGGGTGTTTTGTTTGTTCTCTTTTGTTTTCATATTTCTAGAGCCAGATAAAATATGACTCAGTAAAATTACCTATCCATTCCACTCCTGTAATGTTAAGATACGTTAGTAATAATAAAAAAAAAATGCCCAAGTCAGATATAGATATCTTTGTGGTCATGAGAGTTCACTTGACCTGAGCCTAAGTGCTATCCCATCCAGGATGCCAACTACTTATTTGTAGAAGGGAAGTCCTTAAGAGCACCCCATGTGAGCACTTGAGCTTAAATATAAAGATGCTACTCTCTGCAAATGGTTCTTCTGGGCCTGGAATAAAGCTGATTCCAGGGGACGTGAAACAATTCCCTCCAGCAATCCAGTAGACTAATCTTCGGATTTCACTTCTTCCCCAATACTAAAAAACCTATGGGAGGTTCAAGATTATTTTACTTTTTGAAATTTATTATTTAGTTTAAAAGCTTTAAATTGTTTTTAAGAAGATCATATATGAGCACTGTATTGTTATCATTTCCACCCCTCTTTTTCCTACCTCCAACTCCTCTTGTACCACCCTACTCCATCTCAAATCCATGACCTTTTCTTTAAATGTTGCTACACACATGTATAAATATAGCCATTTAGTGTTGTCTCTACGTGTTTATGGCTGACCATTTGGCATCAGATAATCTTCCTTCCTTCCTTCCTTCCTTCCTTCCTTCCT